CCGCTGCCCCACAGAGGACCAGCCTCAGAGAGGACTCTTAACTGAATGAACTGAACAGCCAGGCTTCAGTTACTAAGAATGAATGCATTGTGCCAGCAGGTGAGCATAAAATGCGCCACTAGCAGTAGGTCTAAGGGCCCCCTGGCACTGGAACACAGCTGGCTGGGTTCCAATCCCAGCGCGTCCACTTGTGCCCTAAGCGACTTTGGGCAAATTGCTTCATCTCTCTAAATCTAGTTTCTTTTTCTCCAAAACAGGGTTTAGGGTGTCTACCATTGGATCACGGTGAGAATTACTGAGTACTGAGACAGCTCCAGTATAGTGTTGAATACAGCACCTGGCATTTGATAAATCTACGTTTTAAAATCGTTATCATCATCATCCCCTGCTCTTTAGGGAGTTAAGTCTAGCTAGAGGATGGAGATACACTCATTGCGGGGAAAAAAATTCACCATTCAGGGAAGTGGGGAAGGATCAAAAGATCAACACGGAAAAGCTTTCACCTCGCTTTGCCCCTGACATACGTATATCTAAACAACCTTGCCAAGACAGTGAGGGCAATCAAGACATTACAAAGATAATCTATTTTTAATGAGAACGTGGGGTTAGAATATTTGTAGATTTTCAGCTGGGTAGTACTTGAGCTTCTTACCTTAATGGTACAAAGCCAACCCCGATTAATGATCAACTTAAAAAGATAAAAATCTGACTTGCTCTAGGAACTTCTGTTCAGCAACATGAGCCAATGTAAAGCACGAATCTTATGACCATGGAATCAAGACTCCCTGTGCTGACCTAAATGTCCATCGACAGATGACTGGAAAAAGAAGCTGTGGTGTATTTATACAATGGAATACTACTCAGCCATAAGAAATGACAACATAATGCCATTTTGCAGCAACATGGATGTCCCTGGAGAATGTCATTCGAAATGAAGTTACCCAGAAAGAGAAAGAAAAATACCATACGAGATCACTCATATCTGGAATCTAAAAATAGAACAGACAAATGAACTTATATATAAAACAGAAACAGACTCACAGACATAGAATGCAGACTTGTGGTTGCCGGGGGGAGGAGAGTGGGAAGGGATAAACTGGGAGTCCAAGATTTGCAGATACTGACTTGTGTATGTAAAACAGATAAACAAGTTTATACTGTGTAGCACAGGGAACTGTATTTGATATCTTACAGTAGCTTATGGTGAAAAAATATGAAAATGAATATATGCATGTTCATGTATGACTGAAGAATTGTGCTGTACACCACAAATTGACACAACATTGTCAACTGACTATAACTCAATAAAAATCAATATAAATAAATAAATAAATAAATAAGTAAATTTATTTTTTAAACGTAGGAAAAAAAAAAGACTAGACTAAAATTCCAACTCCACCACTAAGTGG